CATGAATTTTTACGAGTTGTGGATCTCATTGATATTCGGCAGTCTTGGTCTTGAATTCTTCCAGCAAATCAACGATGCTCTTCACCGAGTGGGCTGCACAGTCTCTTAGCCGAACACTCACCTGAAAATGTTCCAGTCCAACAAAGAAATGGTCTTTAAATGTTCAGAGGAGACAAACTGAATAAGCTCGAAATAAGGAATCCAAAATCACTAAACCTGTCCTGTAGCAGCTTCAGTTTCACCCACTACCAGTATGTAGTTGTACTGTGCAAGCTGAGCTTCTCGCACCTACACAAACACCACAATCATCACTCAACAAATCACCAGCCAACCGCAGAAATTAAACTCGAACAAAAACCCCAGTTCTTACCTTTTTATCGATCTTTCTGTCTGATATGTCCGCATCAACATAGTACCCAGCTTGATGAATTCGTTCTTTCACCTGTTTGAATGTTTGAGATAAAAGAAAAGCCACAGATTAGGACAAGAAGATAAGAAACACAGGTGCTCGCTCACTAAAGAGTGCAGACAGAAATGTAACCTCTAATGCATAATTCTGAGATTTCTCTGATATAGGGCAAATTATGGCTTGGCGTGGACTAAGCCAGAAGGGCCACTTTCCTTTGTAATGCTCCAACAATATGGCAAACATACGTTCCACCGATCCCAACACGGCTCTATGGATCATTACAGGTCTCTCTTTCTTTGCTTCGTCCTCAGTTGCGTATTGCAATTCGAAGCGGTCCGGAAGTTGAAAATCAAGCTGAAATGAGGAGATATTGTCAACTCCAGCACTGACTAGCAAGAGAAAATGCAGAAAAAAAACGAAAAAAAAACTAAAAAGAGCTCGGGAACCTGTAAAGTAGCACACTGGAATTTCCTATTCATTGCATCAGAAACTGTGATGTCTATCTTTGGGCCATAAAACGCCCCATCTCCTTCATTCAACTGCCAAAACAGCACATTTTAGAATGCATGTGGACTTTGTGAATAAACTCGAATATTCCACAACAAGTGTCAATACCAGCCATGGCTTGCCAAAAGCTTCTAGGGCTACTTTGAGATCATTTTCAGCTTTATCCCAGGTATTCACATCTCCAAGGTACTTCTCTGGCCTCTGAAATGTAATTTAACATGTAAAGAATGGGCCATAGGAACATATCACACAAAGTCTATTTAGATGCACTAGTGAAGAAATCTTCAAATATGATACCGTTGAAAGCTTTAGCTCATAGGTAAACCCAAAAACTTTGTACACATAGTCAATGAACTCCAACACACCCTTCACTTCTTGCGTAACCTGAAAAGAGATAACATTACTTCTAACAAAAATCTGGGACGAAAAGGAGCTCCAACATTGCCAGATAAGAAACGTAAATCACAAACCTGATCTTCTTTACAGAATATGTGTGCATCATCCTAAAAAGTAAGCAAACATCATATTAAGTAACAAATATGCAAACATGAAAAGGGGATAATGATAAATAAGCAAAGTAAATAAGGATACAAGATATACCTGCTGGAACCGTCGGACACGAGTCAACCCACTAAGTGCTCCACTTGCCTCATTGCGGTGTAACACTCCAAAGTCAGCCAGTCTTATGGGTAACTCTACAGGCAATATAAGCCATAAGAAGATGTCAACAAAGATACATGATCGACTTGGCAATTTCTTGAGTGAGATTTATAAAGAGCAAACATAATATCCATATTGTCCTGGATGATACATTACAAATCACGAATTATACTTTATAGAAAAGTCTCGTGTCATAGAAAATCAGCACCAAGTAACCCACAAGATAGTTTTGATAGTCTGTCAGGCGGTGAACTTTAATTTCTAGTATTACTATCATTCCTAGATCCGTCTTTAATCATATCAAACTGCACTTCAGAAACAGAGTCGCACCTCTATATGACCGAACCCTGTGTTGGAACATCAAGCAGTGACCAGGGCAATTCATAGGTTTGAGCCCGAACTCTTGCTTCTCAATCTGCAAAAGGAAAATATGCAAAATTCATTCATGTGTAGAATATAACTTAGGCCAGACATTGGCTTCTAGGGAGTTGCTTGCTAGAGTAACAGACTCAGGGGAGTCTTAAGCTTTCCATGTACTCTTACATCAAATGTAAACATATTCTCCTTGTAATTTGCAGCATGTCCGGATGTTTCCCACAGATTCATGTTGTACATATTTGGTGTAATGACCTGCCAGTGCAAGGTTAATTTAGCAAACCCGACTCATCAAGTATATTAAATATAAGATGAGAGCTAAACAAAAACCTCTGTGTAACCCCTTTTCCAATATTGCTCCTTAATGAATTCCATCAGCTTGTTATATACACGAGTGCCGAGTGGAAGGAAGAACCAACTCCCAGGGCTGAAGCTCAAGGATGGTAAATATATCTATTAGTATAGTGAAACATAGTAAAGAGGAAGACACTGTATATTAGCACCGAAAGGACCTGAGTTCATGACAGAAGAAAAGTTCCTGCTTTTGGCCCAATAGTCTATGGTCATATTTTTTCGCTTCTTCTAGAAATTGAAGATATTTCTGCAACGACCAAGACAAAGACGATATATATCATGCATACTCAGGACGCAGCATAGCAGTCAATATGTTTAAGAAATCTGAGTACCTTCAGTTGTTTCTGATCCGGATACGATATCCCATAAACTCTCTGCAAGCTCTCACGGTCTTTGCTAGCCCTCCAGTAAGCTGATGAGGCCTGAGAAAAAATACATTGGTCAGTATAAGAACACAAACTAGAATCTGTAGAGACGTAGCTCCAAGAGAGAGAGTAGCAACTCACCTTTAAACACTTGAACGCTTTCACAAAAGAAGTGTTTGGTATGTGCGGTCCACGACACAAATCAACCAAAGGGCCACATCTGTAGACAGTAATGGTCTTGTCTGCAGGCAACTCATTGATGATTTCAACCTAGATGATTAACAGCAGAAGAATGAGTCCAAACAACACATTCAAGGAAGACAGAAATGAATGTGGGGTTAGGGGAGCATAACAAATTCAGTAATATGAATACACAGCTTAACCCACCTTAAACTTATTATCAGAAAACATCTCGAGTGCCTGATCCTTTGTCACTTCAATCCTTTCAAATGGTTGCGCTTCCTGAGATGTAAATATAAGAGAATCAGAGCAATAGAAAATATAATTAAAAGTTGGGTGACATCTATCATTTAAGTTCACTAGAAGGTTTGAGAAAGAAGCAGATCTTTTGTCACATTAATTACAAGGAAGCTCTGAGTAATCAACTAAGTAACATACTAAAGAAGAAACAATACCTTAGCAGCTTTAGCAGCACCTGATTCAATTTTAGGAAAGTGATCGTCGTTCAGGCCCAAGTTACCATAAAACGCATCATAGAAGAAACCCTGCAATAACAGTCCACAACTAACATCAGCCATACCCGCATTTGCACAGCATTACAGTGAAATACCGAGAACAAGAAAAATGGTTTCCTCCTTCTCTTTTTCTAATATCATAGCCAAAGAAACATCTGAATAGAGAAACCAAACTTCACAAAGCATCGAGGATGATATACAGAACAAGAGACAATTAGTTATGTTGAAATGGAGTAACCATTAGCACAAACCAAGCTGGCTCTTACCTCCCCTCTAGTTGTACATGGTCCTATGCATAGTTGACAGCCATACTCCTGCTCAAGAGCCTGCACACATATCACAAACACATCCACAGTAAACGATATCGTTCATCACAATCAAGAAACTTCAGTAATGAGATAAGATCTCAGTCTTTACCTGCCCAAGAATATGTGCACTAGAATGCCAGAGAGTATCCCGGCCTTGATCGGTATCAAATTTGAAAAGCTGAAGATTACAGTCACCTTCAAGTGACCTATTCATGTCCCAAAGCACATCGTTGACCTCTGCAATCAGCGCAGAATTCGCCAGACCCTTAGATATCTCCCCTGCGATGTCCATTGGAGTGGTTTCCCACTTCTTCCCTTCTTTCACTGTCCCATCTGGTAACGTAATCCTA